TCACTTCCTTTATTACAGTGATGATGTTACGCAAAGTGGGCACAACGATGTGGATTTCCTTGATAGGAAGGTGGATCAGCCAAGACCCTTTCCCAATGCCAAATGGAATAGACCTTCTTGCATGGCAAGTGCTTTATGTCCCATAATAAAAGAGATCCTTTCTCCGAAGCACCAACTGCGTGTCCTCTCACTACCCTGCACGTGCCGTGTGCCTCTGTGGCCGTTTCACTGACTTAAGGAAGGCGGTACTACTCTGCCCGTGCTGACAATTGGTTGTGTCCTGTCTCCCTTCTTGAGCTGATGGAGTTGTGGTGCTTGTAAGGGTTCTGGCTGTGCTGTGGAAACCTGAAGGCGTGAGAATGGGCTTTGCTGCTTTGCTCTGGTGTGTTCTGTTCATTTAAAGAGTTGCAAAGCCTGTGGTTGTGCTGTGACCGATATGCAGCCAGGGCAGAGGGTAAACCATTGGCTGAAGCCCACCTAAATTGAAATTAATGTGGCCTGAGATGCTGGATAGAACTCTGAGGTCTGGGGCGGGCAAGGAACTGTGCAAGATATGCCGTGTGCAATCAACACTGACGATGAACTCGGGCACATCGAGTGTGAAAGATTGAGTCCCGGGTGATGGAGGATGTAAGGCAAAGATTTCACAGCTGATATTTTGAAGAGTGCAAGCAGATGCTGAAACTGTGGTTTATAAACTGCAGCAGGTTGGTGCTGGCTCCCAGCGGCAGCTCGGCAGGCTTGGCAGGGAGCTCAGAGGTCTGGCTGAGTGGCTCTGGGAAGGAGCCTTTTCTCCGCCCCCTCAGCCTCCAGAGTTCAAATTTCACTAAACCTGATTGCACAAAGCTCCACCCTCCTGTTTACATTGCACTGGCCTTTTTGGTGGAATCAAAGTCTCCTGTTTGACCAACAAGAGCTTCCACCTTCAGACTAGCTGGAGAGGGAGGCTGGGTGTCTGTGGGGAGGCACACCCCGACCCCAGGATGCTGCTCTTCTGGGATTGAGGCCTTTCTTCGTGGAAAAGTGGGTCCCACAGGCGTAGACTGAACCAGCTGCTGGGCTGTTTGGAAGGAAGGTAAGCAGGGCGTCTGCACTTGTGTGTGTGTGTGTGTGTGTATGGCGGGGTGGCTTCCGTAAGGCTACAAAGACCTGCAACAGGGCTGAGCACTTCTCTGAGACTTGCAAACCAGAGGAAACTACCAGAGGGCCCGAGGTGGTTCTCCCCAGGCGGAGTGAGGGCTTCAGGGAGGGAAGGGAGTGAAGTGATGAGCAGAAGAGCAGTTCTCACCTGGTGGGAAGGAATGTCCCGGGGGCTAAGGGAAGAGGTTTATTTGCAGGTTAGAGGAGGCTTACGTAGCTGTTTCTTCTCTTGGGGGCATCAGTGATGGTTTGAGATGGAGCTTGTGTGCCGAAGCTCTTGGCCAGCTCTGTGGCTAGCTGGCCAGGTGGCCACTGAGTCAGCCCACAGGGCGTCCTGTTTTCCTCGCTGCCCGGGTCTCAAATGTGTTTTGCAGCTAGGAGTGCCCGAAAGGGCTGTGCTGTCAGAGGCTGCCAAGATAAGTTTCCTCGGCATGACGAGCCCGAGTTGGGGTGTTGGATAGGACAGGTGCCAACCGGCGGGAGTGGTCCTGCCCACCCTCATGTTTGTGTGAGCTGTCTGGGGCACAGTCGCCATGGCCAGGACATGCCTGCCACAGCCCCACACCAAGCCCCAGGGCTCCTTTATCGCAGCATTCCGTAGCCTCACCCAGGGGACCTACAGGAGCGCTGGAATCCATGTGGCCCCGGCTCCGGCTCCGAGACGCTGGTCCTGGAGAGGGGCGTGTCCTTTTCCCGAGAGGCGGCTTGAGGCTCTGTGCAGAGCCTTCCTGGTTGGAATGCCCCTGCTCCTGCTCTCGCTGTTCTTTTTCCTAGTCTATGTTTCTCAAAGAATTTACAACCTGCCTTGTTTTGAGAAAACATCTGCTCAGATCTCAACTTGGCTCCAAAGGAGCAATTTTCAGCTGTCTCCCTTGGCAGGTGAGGGTCCTGTGCCTGCAGCCACCAAGTCACCATCCTGCTTGGGCACCTTCCTGCCTGGCAGTGCAGGGCGGGACTGGAGTGGGGGGCGAGGGCAGGCATTTGCTCTCAAGATGGGAAGGCTCACCAGGAGGAGCTACGTGCTAGGATGGAGTTACTTCTGGAACTCCAACTGAGGAGAGAAATGCAGTTTACCTTGTCCAGAGGCCCAAGCCAGAGTTTCACGCCCGTGTGGTTTCTAGCGATTTATTACCATCTTTTGCTTTTTGTTAAAAAAAAATAAGAGGAAAAGGGCACATTTCATCTAACCCTGTAATGTATCAAAGTTACCTTTTCTCTGCTTTTGTAGATTAAAGGTAATATTTTCAAAGGCCCATTCTCAGCTCTTGAGTTTCTCTGGAAAGGGAAATACTTCAGTACAAATGCAGGGGAATATTTACTTAGCGCACAGGCAGAATCCTATGCAATAAAATAAACACAAACCTTGTTTTGCGAGAGGTTATGAATGCTACAGTTAGAAAGGTCCACGTGGGAAAGACAGCGAGCTCCCTGCGTGTGTGGTGTGTGACAGGGTGAGATAGGAGGACTCCCCCCCCGCCGCCCGCAAGGACACTATCCAGGCTGGCATTTCCCCTGAGTGTGAAGGGTGGGGCCTCTGGGCCTGCACCCCTCACCCTCACACAGCCCAGAGGGAGGAGCTGCCCTTGGGTCACTACCAAAGCCACCCGCTGCTCCCCACTCTGCAGAGGAGGCGAGGGGTCAGTCACGCACTCAGCCCCTCTTGGTGAGGGACATCTCTCTGTCTCAGAGACCGGAGCCCTGGGGGCCCCCTCTGCACAATACAGTACACTGACATATACCCCCGCAACGAGACGTCTTGCAGCGCCAGGCTGGTCCCACTGTAGGGTCGACTCTTACAATAGAAGACTGCTTGGTCAGAGCTGATGTAGCAAGTCCGGGAGAAATGGTCTCGAGATGACACCCCTGGATGTGTGTTGGAAGGTCCACAGGGGGCCTGTCGTCCTGCCACTGAGCCCTGTGCTATGGGGCACGGCCCCCATGACCTCTGGGTCCGCAGAGGCAAGTTCTGGGCCCTTTCTGGATGGTGTGAGTCTGAGTGAAGTGATGCAGAGGCCATGGGAGTCGCTTAGCCAGCTTATTGCTGCTGCTTTTGTCCCATTGCTATCAGTCTCTGCGGAAACAGAGGCAGAACAAATTATGTAACTTGAACCCTGTTCTGTGGCTAATGAGAGCTTGAGGTGGGCTGCTCGGCCACAGGGCCACGCTGTGGAGGGGGACGTTTAGGACAGTGGATGCCTGGATGGTTTGGGTCATGTCAGATGATAACTTATGGAACTTTCTGATAAGTGAAAAAAAATAAATCCTTTCACTTCAGATTTCTATTAAAAAGCAATTCCTCAATGTAATTCTCAAATTATAAGGTCAGGTAGGCTGAGTTAAGAATAGTCGTTAATTAGATGCTACAGGACACCATTCTTCAGGCTCTGGCCCAGAGGGAACACAGACATGAATGTGTGAGAATTCTGGAATCCAGCACTAAGACAGGAGGGGAGGTGCAGGAGCGTGTTCGCTCCTTTCCAATGGTCTCACTGAATCGCCACAGTGATCCTGGGGCAGCTTTCATTGAACACCCCTTGCCAGGCGACTTCTCTACTGATAAGGAAACCGAGGCACAGAGAGGCTGGGTAACGCACCCAAGGTCACACAGCTGTGGTCAGGATTTTTAATCAGGATTCAAGCCCAGATAGATTATGCCAGAAAGTGAAGATGTGCTCATAAATCACTCCAATGAAAAAGTCAAAACAAGCTTTATGCCACAAGGAGGATGCAAAGGAACCATGACAGCTCTTCTAAGGAGTATAGAGCTCCCACCATCTTATGGAATCTAAGAAGAGGAAGGAATGTCCTGAAAGAGAGGGAGGAAGGTGAGGAGGGGGAGGCAGAGGAGGGAGAGAGCGGGGAGGAGGAGGGGGAGGGGGAGAAAGGAATTAGGGAGGGAGGGAGGAGAGGAAAGACAAGAAGGGAGAGAAGGAAGGGGGCGCGGGGAGAGGGGGAGGAGGAGGAGCGGAAGGGGGAGCCACGGCAGCGTGGCCCCACTGCATTGAGACTCTTATTTCTGTCTTGATTTCATGATCTCTTTTCGCATCGAGGGATAATTTACATACAGTAAAATTCACTCTCTAAGATTTAGTGTGAAGTTCTAGGAATTTGACTTTCTGTCCTGAAACTGCCCTACAACCAGATACAGAACACTTCCTTCACCCCAAATCACTCCTGGTGCCGCTTCACAGCCTCCCCTCCCGAGGCCCTTTCCTGAGGGCTCTCCCCCAGAATGTCAGGGAGAGCCCCGCGTGGAGCCCGTGGAGGCTGCCGTCACTCGGGGCTGTGGAGGTGGGTGCAGGTGGTGCTGACGCTGGTCCTGGGAAGGCTGCGGTTGTGAAAACCCTGTGTGGGTACTTGTGGGGGGACTGCTATGGAGACGTTTTGACTTGGTGAATTGGTTTAGCTGGGTGGCCAGTGACTCATTTGGAGGGTGAGCTGGAGTGCATTCACGCGGGGCTGCCACAGGAGGCAGAAATGACCGTCAGGCCTCAGTGGGCCGTGTCCAGAGAAACGGCCTGTCCCGTGGTGGGTCAGGGGAGGCAGGGAGCCGTCTCATCCTCAGGGCTCCTGACCCCAGGGGCTGTGGGTGCCGTGGGCGGGGTCTGAGGGGTCCCTGGGGGCAGCGCTGGAGCTCCCCAGTCCTAAGGATGGAGGCGCACAGCCCTCGGCAGGCACCTGCTGCTTCAGCCTAGGAAACAGACGTAAAACTGCGACCGTCAGCACATCTGTTGAAGACGCAGGATTCTGACCCAGATAATGAGCCATTTCACGAGTTAGGGAGGAAAACACAGAGGGCTTACGTAGTTTCTGAGAAGTGTGTGTGTGTGTAAGTTGCAGAGAAAACACTGGCAAATTCCTTTCCAAAATTAAATTGTAATTTCACATGAATGTGGTGGGTCAGGTTTAGAATCCCAGCGTTTTAAAAGAACAGAGAGCGTGGACTTGGGAGTGGGACCAGGTAGGTCTGAATTCCAGATGATCTGTTCAGTCGGCTTTTGGTCTTAAATATTAGCACCACCTCTCTGAACCTCTGTCTTCTCCTCTGTAAAATGGGCTTTCCGCTCCCTGCTTCCCAGCATTGCTTTGGGCCTGAATCGAGGTGCATTCCTGGAGCTGGGAGGGTCCTGGCACAGAGCAGGGGCTTAGAAGAGCCTTGGTCTTTAGGACGGCAGCCCGACGGCAGGCGAGGGCCCGTCCAGGCATCCCCTGTCTTCCTCTGAGCAGTTGCTGGCATCCTCTGTTCCTCTGAGAACACAGCCTCCCCGGCTCACCTGTGAGCGGCACACCTGACGTGCCCTTCCTCCAGTCCTGCTCCACCTTTCTGCCTCTGTTGACCCGTCAGCTGTGTGGGGAATGTCCCCGCCGCCCCTCCACCTCCTGCTCCTCTCCCAGTTCCCCAGGCTGGTCCGACCCCAGCACATAGTGGGGCCTCTGCACAGTGCTCCTGTCCAGCTCCCTTAATGCTGGCAGCCGGGGTGAGAGCGGAGAAAGCTCTCGTGCTCTCCTGGAGAGGACTTTTCTGTTGTTCTCCGTGGAAGACTTGCAGGGAGGGTGCTGTTAGCTGGTTGGAAATGCAAAGTTGTTTTTTTGCGCAGACCTGTCACAAAAGTAGAAGAGAAGATTCATGGAGTCAGTACAGAGAAGGAAGGAAGGTTCCAGGTGCTTACTAAATCCATCAGGTTTGCCCTTTCTTTGTTTTGAATCGATTTTTTGTTGGGAGCAGCTCCAGGGGACCACTGAATACATACAGATCAGTTCTACACTTTTTTGGTGGCCGAATGGGTGGCGCTTGGAAGGAGGTGGAACTGAGACGCAGCCCTTCTTTTGGCTGATCCACATTGCACCTGTGTGCACACACCTGCGAGCGCAGGTGGGCATTGGTTAATCTGTGTTCAGCCGGGAGAGGAAGGTTGTTTTTATCTTGTTTTTTGGGTCTTCCCCATTTCCTTGGATTACTTTTGAAATATTTTCTGAGCGCCTCTTTCCCTCCTGGTAGGAAAGCCCCCTTTCAAAGGTGGGTGGAGGGGGCAGGGAATGGTCACATGGTGGCAGGGGCGGGTGGGGAGTCTGTCCCTGTGGTCTCTACCCTTTAATGAGGCAAGAATGTCCACTCTATATTTTCTTCCTTCTGGTTCTTTTCCAGATGATAAACCTCCCTGGTGTGTCATTCAGCAGAAGTAATCAGTGCCATATTTATGTTTGTTTGATGTTTAACTAGACCCTAGCCACAGGGAAATCATTGCCAGACAGCGCACACGCTCCTTTTGAAAGGGGCCTTTGGTTCTGGTCGGTAGGGTGGGGGCTGAAGAAGGGGATGCAGAGAGAATGGTTCGTCCTGGGCTGGGACAGGCAAAGGCCATCTGCGTCAGCAGCTGAAAAGCTGTGGGATGCCAGGCAGGTCACTTCCCCATTCTGGGATCAGGGTCTTAATTTGCAGAATGAGATCCACTCCAGCTACCCAAGACATTCCAACTACCCTTTGAGCTGGAAGCACAAAGTTAAAACATGTCCTTTAAATATACAAAAAGATTCAAGGGGCAGATGAAACCAAACTCCACCTTCTAGAATTCTCCGTCCTTGCCCCCACACCCACCCCACAGCAGAGGCATCTTTGACAGCACTCTGAATTCCAGAGGGCGCAGAGCTTTGCAGCCCCAGCCTCCTTCAGCCGAGGGGGCTCACCCTCCCTGCTGGGGGCCGGTGGCCACAGTGGGACCCCAGCCACAGCCTCACTGGGGACCTCAGACCGGAATTTGGACTACATCAGTTCTCTGAAAATTCCTTTCTGCATCACCTTTCCAAACCCAGGCGATGTCATAAGGGGCACTCTGCCATCACTGAAATCAGGGAGTCCTTAAGAATTGACCGGAACCTTGGGGGCTTCACACACTGGGGGTGGGGCTCCTGTTTTGTTTTTTGTGGAAGGATCGGCCGTTGGCCATGCAGTGACCCCATGCCCCAAGACCCCCAGATGTTTCGTTCTGGATCGTGGCTCTTTTCCTTGTTCTTGCTGCGGTGTTCACAGGGGTCTCAGAAAACAAATCACCAGCCACGGTTGAGCAAGGTGGCCCTTTTCTACGTGCGCGCTTTAGAGGCAGGTGTGCTCCCGGCCTGCCCCTGCAGCTGTGTGGGTCTGACCAGGGAAGGCCAGTCTCACACATGGAAGGAGGAGACAGGAAGATGCGGTGTGGTTGGTATGTGCCCGCTGTATGCCAGGGCTCTGCCTCGCTCACTGTTGTACCCCCAGTCCTGGCCCCTGTGGCCAGACGGGCGATATTCAGACTTCCCTCGGGCCTCTGGCCTCGCTGCCTGCCCGATGGACATCGGGTGACCTCAGGTACTTCTCCAGTCTTGTTTTGTGGCGCCAGCGGGAGCATGAGGAGCATCGGCTGTCGCAGAGGCCGGGCTGGTGGTGGGCTGTGTACCCACTTGGGACAGATTGCTTTGATGTCTGAGGAGGAGGCCCTGCAAGTGGCCGAGGGCCCCGGCATCTCCACCTTCAGACCTTGTTGTTGGTGTGTTTTTGATTGGTTGGTTGTTTATAGTTTGTCTCCTATTATGGCAGCTGGGCATCTTTCCAAAATAGCTCCCCAGGTTTTGTCGTGTGAGAATAAGCTAGGACATTCAGCCTCTCAGTTACTCAGTGCCCACTCAGAGCCAGAGGCTGTTCCCCAATGCTGAGAATCCCACAGGAGCAAAGTGGAGCAAAACCCTGCCCTGCTGGAGCTGCGTCCTCGTGGAGGAGACGGTAGATGCACCTGCAGTGTATCTGAACACAGTTCCCTGCCACAGACAGACACCCAGCAGGGGACGCGTGGTTGGGGAAGGCCGCTCCAAGAGGTGAGGGAACGAGCCAGGACAGAGAGCAGTGGAGGCAGAGAACAGCACAAACAAAGGTCCAGGGGCAGGTGAGTGCCTGCTGTGGTCAGGGAGCAGCAGAGCGGGCAGGGAGGAAATGGGACCAGAGAGGGAATGCTGGGCCTGGTCCACCACGGAAAGAGCTTTTTGTAATTACGGCTGCCTTTACTAGGAGCCTATGACCTGAGTACTGTATATATAATCTCTCATTCTTATAATTGCATTGAAAGATAAGAATAATTATTCCACTTTATAAATAAAGAACCAGGGGCTTGAACAGTCTAAATGTCATGACCAGGAATGCAAAGAGTAAATGTAGAACGGGATCCCATCTGGAGGCTACGGGGGAATAAGGTGTCTCATTGTCCAAATGACAATCAGTCGAGTCCTTCCTCCTGCAGAGGATGCGGGGTAGGAGCAGTGGGTACCAGAGGCCCCTTCTTGTCCTCCCTCCAAGGCTGTCTTTCCTCCTCCAGAAGGTCACAGAGCATCGGTGCAGAGAGGGTGTCTGTGGAGGCCCCTGGACAGCCCCCTAGAGCCCCTGTGCCTTTGGGAACATCTGTGCTCCTACAAAGTGATTCAGAAGTTTGGACGGGTCTGTCTTGGGCATTCACTGAGTTGATTCATATTCTTTTCCTATAGATAGAATATTTTGGGGGGCATTTTCCGATGTAGAGAGTAGTCTGTGTGCGTAGTTTAGAAAAGTCCATGGTGGCATTTGGCTCTGTCCCATCGCTGTGCCCCTATGGAAGGTGCCCTGAGCTCGCCCAGGGCTGGGATTCCAGGTCCTCACCGCTCAGCACTGGGCCTCGCACCGAACCAGCACTGAGACAATGTAATTGTGCTGTCTTCAATGCATTTATTATTTTAAGATTTCTACTACTAACAAAAATGATAAGAATAGGATTAGTCATATCTCCCCAGCCAAGGGAATATGCTGTCCTTTACCATTTCATGGAGGCCTTTATGGACCGTTCTTAGCATGGGGCTAGCCACGGGACTCTCCCTCAAGATGAGTCACAAGCACTTTTGGGCAATGCCCTAATTTAAATTAGAAAATTTTGGTACAACTCGTTGGCTGTGTTTTTTTAAGTCATGTGCCAGTTCGTTTCGATTCAGATTTGGGGAGAAGGTCATGGAAGTCATCGATGCACAGTCTTCACAGCATGAACTCTCTTTCTAGAATTCATGGATCCCTCCCTGGCTGCGCCGCCCACTGGTCTGTCCTCTGGCCAGAAGGCCACCTGGGACTGGCGCTGCTCCGCCCTCCGTTGTGGTGGGGTGTGTGGTTCTCATGGAGCAGACACCATGGGTGAGAGCCGCACCCTCTCCTTCGCGCGCTCTGCAGAATGAAGAGAAAGATGTGATGCACCAGGTCTGGCAGGGGTTGGGTTTCCCTGTGACAGAGACTCTACCAGAAGTGGAGTTAAGCCGGTGTTTCCCCACGGCCGTAAAGACACTCTTCTGTGTGCTGTCTTTTAATCCCCATGTCAAACCTCCACGTGGAGCATGCCCACACCCTCATTTTACGTCTGGTGAGGTGAAGGTCAGGATGAACGTATGGGTTGGTGGCCTGAGGGCGGGTCGGGTACAAGCAGGATTTGAACTGGCACCTGTCTGATGCCTGAGCTGGCCTCCTGCACAAGCCAGCGCCGTCCTAAAGTGTGACCTAGTGACTCGCAGATGTGCGGCATTTTGCACTTTCACACCTGTAGAGGTGGCAGTTGCTGGACCTGTGACTCAGGGCAGTCTTTGCGGGATCCTCCTGTCTGACCTGCCGAGCTCTCCCACAGGCCTTCCACTGCGCCCCTTCTGACCTGGCCCGGGGTCGCTCGCTGAGCCTTCAGAGCATCGGGACTCAACGCCACCTTGCTCGCAGGGGGGAGCGCTGACACAGGTCTCAGGGCGTGTGCTCTCCCGGTGCCCTCTGTGCAGGTCTGCAGTGCTGGGCGGCGGGGCCCGGGTGTCAGAGCCAATGGACCTGGGTTCTGTCCCCACCCCCACTGCCCAGCAGCTGCCTGACCTTGGGCAGGTTACTGAATTCATGAAGCCTCAGGTTTTTTCCTATAAAGAAGGAATAACAACGTCTAGTCTGCTAGGTAGGCCATACTATGAAAATCAGAGAAAATGTGCTAACTGCCTGCCATGTAAGAGGTGCTCAGTAAACCCCAGCTGTCTCAGACACCCTCACTGTGAATTACTCACCTGGCTGAATCCAGCACATACCCTTTGCCTAGCAGCTCAGTCACAGTTGCCTGTCTTGAAGCCTTGGCTTAAATACACTTTTTTGTCTATCAGTTCTCCCCCAGCCCTCCCATTAGGCTCTACTTTAGGATGAGGGTCGCTGAGGTGCCATACAGGACTGTACCCCACTGTTGGCCGCTCCCTGTAGCCATTTCTGTTCATGCCTCCCATTGGGTGCAGTTGAAATGAGGCAGCCTAGGGTCGTGCTTGCTCTCTGCACAGCACCCCGGAATACCCCACAGGTCTCAGCCCTGACCTGTCTCCTCAGCATTTTCAAAAAGGCCGGATACTGCTCACCGCGGCAGTGCACCCAGCACACCGGGGCTGGAGCCAGGTGCTCAGGGCAGGTTCCTCTGCTGGGATGCGTGGGCTCGGCCAAACAGCGTGGGTCACCTGTCAGCAGCTCCCTTGCTGTGGTATGCCTGCAATTTCACCTTCAGGAAAATAGAGGAAGGGGGGGGAGGCTGGGGCGGTGCTGACTGCAGGCTTCCCCCTGCCCGCCCATTGCTGCCTCTCCCAGCTCTTCACTGTGACCCGGGGGATTGTCCTTTGCCCTCAGCAGTTTGAGGCTCGGGATCCACTGAATGTGCAGCCAGAGCTCTAATTAATAATAGTAGCAGAGGGTTCTGCTCTTCCTGCCCACGTTTTTGTTTTCCTGACCGTCCTGACGTATGCAGATCAGTGCACAAAGATCTGCCTCAGGTGTTCAGTGTCCTGCCGTACGGCCATCGTGTACCTGCGGCTCAAAGATGCCGCATTAATGGGGAGGCCCGAGACCAGTTCCTCCGCTTTCTCTTTTCATTGAGTTACATATTTAGATTTTAGCAGGTCTCAGAAGGTTGAGAGGATGGCAGGCTCGTAAGTCAGATAGTCCCCTTAATAAGAATTTGCTACCCGGGCCTGTAGCAGAGGCCCAGTAGATGTTGACAGGTGTGTGAGTGGAAAGAAGCTCTCCCTTGTCTTATGTGCACAGTCTATTCTCGATTCTTGGGGATTTATGAGCTGAGCTGTGCTCAAATTCAAACTAACGATGAAATGAACAGTGAGCCCTTGGGGCAAGATGACTCCCATTATGAGAATACTCAAGAGTCTCTAAATGATGATTCTCCTTACATAAGAAGGTAGAAAGGGTTTTGATGCCTGAAGCTGTTTGATTATTCAAGTTGCTTATCATTGGCATTCACTTTGCTGACATATATAGAATTTGGGGTCCTAGAGGAGTGTGTGGCCCTAATTACCATAAGTTATCTGTTACGAATTCATTTATTTGTTTAGACTGATGCACCCACCCACTCCAAGAGCCCGAAGCCCCGTGTCATCCTTGACTTACAGTCTCTCTCCCGTTTTCTCCCCCACCAGTGCTGCACACTCAGGGCCCTGTCGACGGCAGTCTTTATGCCAAGGTGAGGAAGAAAAGCGCCTCGGATCCCAGCGTCCCAGGGGGTGCCCCGGCCATCCCAGCCAGCAGCCCAGACCACGGCGACCACACGCTTTCTGTCAGCAGCGACTCGGGCCACTCCACCGCCTCGGTGAGGACCGACAGGACAGAGGAGCATCTGGCTCCAGGACCCAAGAGGGGTCTGAGCCCCCAGGAGAAGGCTGAGTTGGATCAGCTGCTTAGTGGCTTTGGCCTAGAGGATTCTGGAAGCCCCCTCAAGGATATGACCGATGCTCACAGCAAGTACAGCGGGACACGCCATGTTGTGCCGGCCCAGGTCCATGTGAATGGAGACGCAACGCCGAAGGACCGGGAAACGGACATCCTGGACGACGAGATGCCCAGCCATGACCTGCACAGTGTGGACAGCATTGGGACCCTGTCCTCCTCGGAGGGGCACCAGTCGGCCCACCTGGGCCCCTTCACCTGCCACCAGAGCAGCCAGAATTCCCTCCTGTCTGATGGATTTGGCAGTGGCACTGGTGAAGATCAACACAGCACCCTTGCCCCAGACCTGGGCCTTGGTGTGGACACCCTGTATGAACGGGAGCGGGCTTTTGGGAGCCGCGAGCCCAAGCAGCCACAGCCTGTGCTCAGGAAGCCCTCCGTGTCCCCCCAGATGCCGGCCTATGGGCAGGGCAGCTACTCCACGCAGACCTGGGTGCGCCAGCAGCAGATGGTGGCCGCTCACCATTACAGCTTCGCCCCCGATGGGGACGCCAGGCTCAGCAGCCGTGGCCCAGCAGACAGTTCCATCCTAGCGCAGGCCCAGCCCAGGGTCCCAGTCACCCCTACCCGAGGGGCCAGCAGCAAAGTGGCTGTCCAGAGGGGCATAGGCCCCGGGCCACATGCCCCTGACACACAGCGTCCTCCTCCCGGCAAAGTGTTCAAGCCCAGGTTTCCAGATGTCAAAGTCATGAATGGGACTGGCCTGGAGCAGAGCGCAGACCCCTCCCCCGGCTCGCCCACCCTGGACATAGACCAGTCTATTGAGCAGCTCAACAGGCTGATCTTGGAGCTGGACCCCACCTTCGAGCCCATCCCCACCCACATAAACACACTGGGCGGCCAGACCAATGGCCCCGTGCCCCCGGACAGCATGGGAGGCGGGCTCCGCGCAAGTGGCCGCCTTCAGGACACCGGAGAAGGCCCGAGCAGGGCCCCTGCACGGCAAGGTGAGCTGGCGTTCCACCGGATGCATACTTACCTGCATCTGTGGTTTATGGAACAGGGCTTCATGGGAGAGTGCTGGGCTCTTCTCTGGGTCTAGAGGAGAGAATGAAGAGGACAGTTGGGCCCCTGGGCACAGCTTTGTGGGGACAGGGAAGTGACTGAGCATCCCAGTGTATAAGATAGCCGTAATCTGGCCACGCAGGGAGCCCAGAGGCTGTTCATGGGGCAACAGCTGTGCGAACCACAGGGTGGAGGAGCCTGTGAGTGGTGGAGGGTGGGCAGTAGGTAGGGTTGATCGGAGGAGCAGGTTCCCGTGGTGGGAAGTGCAGCAAGAATCCAGAGCCACAGGCCAGGCTCCAGGGCCCAGCAGTGGCCCCAGCATAGCGGGGTGCAGGCCTGGTGGGGGACCTTGTGTGCACCTCTGCAATAGTAGGGGCCGTGCTGACTCAGGGAGGCCAAGACTTTGAGGACCCTTCTTTCTAGGACTCAGTGGTTTGGAAACCAGGCCTGGGCCTTCCTGCCTGGCTGTGAGGCCTGGGAAGGCTGGAGGTGGCTGTAATAGATGGGCAGTGAGCTCTGGGTATACAGCTGCATGAACGTGGAGGGGTGTGTTGTGATTGGGTCTGTGACATGTTCTCTGTGTTGGGGAGGCATAGGCTGTGGCCCCTGCAGAGCTGGCCAGGTCGACTCGGGAGGACACCCGTCAGGCAGAGGGGGGCAGGAACAGAGTAGGGGTGTCTGGGTCAGGGAGTGGCGTGTAAAGGCTGCAGGGAGAATGTGTATCTAGAAGCTTCTGCAGGAAGAGCATGGGCTAGGCCCGACATCCAAGTCTGGGTGCCCCTGAGGTCTGGGGAGGTGGAGGCTGCGTTCTGGAGCCTGCGTGCTATCAGTCAGGGAACAGAACCCAGAGGCCACTTCAGGGCTGAGAGTGTGGTGTCCACATGAGGCCAGGCTCTCCTGTATTAGGGTGTCTGCCTCTGGGGCATCAGCTGGCTCCCAGGGCCCTGCTGTAAATGTGAAGACTGGAGAGATAATGAGGGAAGGGGCCCTGTCGCTTCCTCTGTCCTCCTGAGTGGGTGCCCGTTGTGCTAAGCTGGTAGTCTGATGGGAAAGACTGCCATTCGCATTGGCTTGTTCTCTGGGCCCCCTTCATCTACTTAAGCCCCCTTGGCTGCAGCAATGGCTCCATGTCTTGCAGTGGAGTTTCCGGAGCTGTCAGGAGGTGAGGTGGCCCACCCAAGGTTGTGTAGGTCTTATGCAGTAGAGCAGAAATCGGCCCCTGGGGCCTGCTCCCAGAGGCCCCACCCGCTTTGCAGCCAGATGGGGTGGATTTTAGACCTGCTCAGGTCTGGACGGCTAGGGCTACATGAGCTT